ATATGTGATAGAGATCAAATGCCCAACATGCAGCCTGGAGTCAATCCTAAACAATTAGAGACTGGAAGTAGAGCTGCCAAGCCAAGGCAGCTTAGATCTAGAGGACCTCTGCCAACCTAATACCTGGTGACTGTGACAATAAATACTCTTGTTATAAGCCACTGAGACTTTGCAGTTGGTATCAGCAAAAGGAACTTACATAGCATGTTTGTTGTTTTCTTCTATAATGCAGTTAATTTACTGATGTATTTTTCATGATGTTCATATAATACACACATATGATGAGCATAACAGCATAGCATAACATTAAATAATATTATATGTACCTTTCTGCATCTTGCTTTTCTTATGGTAGATATCCTTCTAAGCCAACTACTAGAGATGTAATTCATTGACATGCCTGCATAATATTCTGTGGCATGGATGGATTGAAATTTATTCAACTGTTCCCTACTAAAAAGTATTTGAATTTTCTTCAAGGGTTTTTTTTTTTTTTTTTTTTTGCCCCTCCCAATAATTAAAAAAAAAAAAAAAAAAAACCAACCCAGCCTTACACATGGTCTTTAGAGATCTCATTACCTCATTTTACAGAAATGAAACTATAACTTGTTACTGTTGAAAGTACTTTGGCATGGACCTTTGTCAGTCAGTAGCAGACATCAAACAGAACCAGCACTCCCAGTTGCCTCCAAGTATTTACCACTCAACTAAGTGAGGGGAAAGGAGCCCTGATGGTGCAATGGTTAAAGCACCAGTCTGAGAACTGAAAGGTCAGTGGCTCAAACCCACCATGTTCTCCATGGGAGAAAGGTGTTAACAGTCTGCTTCCATAAGGATTTATAGCCTTGGAAACCTTATGGAGCAGAATTGACTCAGTGGCAATGGGTTTGGTTTTTGGTGTGGGGAGCAGAGAACTCTCACCTACACAGTGGGGTCTCAACTTCTATCTCCTGGTTCTCCCTTTCTCTTAACTACTGGCCACATCCTCACCAATCACATTAAAACCTTAAGATGTCTATTGTTAGCCCAGGCCAAGGGACAATGTTCTCTCTTGCTTTGCAGATTCCTCTTTCCACCTCAACTTAATTGAGAAATCTTGGAAATCATATTCTTTCTCCTCAAATCTGTAGAGATGAAAGTATTAGCAAGAATATTTACAATTGGAAACAAAATATAATAGTAATACAGGAAGTTGGTTGGAACATCAGTCTAAGAAAATCTTTCCAGAACTCAGTCCTCTGGGTTGGTTCCATTGCTGAGCAAAGCTCCAGACTTACGGTCAAAATAAGAAGTGTGTGTGTGTGTGTGTGTGTGTGTGTGTGAGGTGTCTGTGTGTGAGAGAGAGAGAGACTGAGAAATTGAGAACCAGGACAGGGATCATACATCCAAATGCATAGAGGAGCCAGGCTGATAAGTGTAGCCAAGCACATACTTACTGATTGTGTGTGTGAATGGTGGAGACTGTGTAAACTACAAGGACAACCACTTCTCAGTGGGCTCCTACTGCATGTTTCCATGTGCAATATAGACCCAGTGTTGCCATATCTTTCCATTTTTTAGAGCAATCATGAATCTCTATTTTTATTTGAAATAATCTAGATACTATCTTGTACAAACAAAACTGTCTGAAGAGCATATTGGGATCATGTAGTTTATAAACACATTAATTTATTTAATCAATACAGTTCAGGGAGAATTAATTATTTATTAATTTCATAAATTTAAATAATTTTGTTCCAACTATGCAGCTAAGAAATGGCAAGAATGAAACTTGAGAACTCTTTTCCTGACTCTGAGTCTTGAGCTTTTCCATTTATCTTTTCCACTCATTGCTGGCAGGACTAGGCTATCACAGTAGAAAGTTTAGAGGACATTCAATCCCTCACAGTCCTACTTATTCTTTCTTCTGTGAGTTGGCTTCCAAATCTTCAGTATGGAACTACTTTATATTTTACCATTTAGCAGCAATCCTAGGTCTTGGTCCTCTAAATAAGGATAGCATAATCCTAGTGGATCTTAAAGTTTCTTGCCAAGGCTGAAACTTTTTAGTTAGGATCTCCACACAGCTCTTTGGCCTGGCTCCATTTACAATGCCTGGAAGTCCAGGAACTTCATATGTCCAGGGAACCATAGATGTTAAACGTTTCAGGGATGTTCTCATGGCCATAATGAAGATCTTGTGTTGTGCCTGACAGTCATTATCAGCAAAAGGTATTCTAAATCCAGTTTCCATTGAGCCAATTCTGACTCATGGCTACCCCATGTGTGTCAGACTAGAACTGTGCTCCATAGAGTTTTCAATGGCTGATTTGTCAAAAGTAGACTGCCAGGTCTTTCTTCTGAGGTGCCTCAGGTGGATTCAAACCTCTGACCCTTCAGTTAGCACTGAGTCATTCTGGGCTTTCCTAAATTCAGACAGTATTTAAAAAGGGCAAATCTCTATCTCTTACAAAGTTCCCTTTAGTAAGAAGTGTGGAGAGGAGAGAGTGCTGAGGTAAGCCTACAGGGTAACTGTCCTGAATCTTCCCAGCAAAACCTGTAGACTATTCCCTAGGCTTTTAATTGCACACTGAATGCCCTTTTGTATTTTGACCTAAGTTTTCCACTTTCACAAAAACTTCTGGAATTATCATGTGCTCTCTAATACTTATTAGACTCCATTATCCAGGGGCTACATATTTATCTGTAAACTATTTTTTTCAGTTCAAATTGGTAGATTCCACCAAGTACATATTATGGACAAGGTACTTTAGGAGGTATGAGGAGACTTAAATTTTATCAAGACACAGCTCTTGCCCTCTGGTGCTGTAGTGCCTAAGGTATTTGATTGCTAACCAGAAGGCTGGTGGTTCAAACCCGACAGCCACTCATCAGAAGACTGGGCAATCTACTTCCATAGAGATACTGCCTCGGAAACCCAAAGAGGGATCATTATGAGTCAAACTGACTCGACAGCAGTGAGTTTGGTGTGTTTCGTTTTGTTTTGTTTTCTTGCCCTCTGGAAGCTTGAATTTCAGTTGTTTTTTTTTTTTGTTGTTGTTGTGTGCCGTTGAGTCAGACCCGACTCATAGCGACCCCTCCTTGGGTTTCCGAGGCAGTGTCACTACAGAAGTAGATTGCCCAATCTTCCTTCTGAGGCTGGTGGGTTTGAACCACCAGCCTTCTGGTTAGCAGTCAGGTGCCTTAGGCACTACACCACCTCAGTGAGAGAAATTTGCACAGTATTGGAGATATGTACCAGTCTGCATTCATTGAGCCCCAAGGACTCACTCCCTTACTTTTCTATAAATAATGCCAAATACTAATGACTTCCTGTAACCTACCCCAAAACTGATTCCCCAAAAACTGATGTCAACAAAGACAGTCTCTCTAGAATCCCCTTTCATATTGCCCCAGAAAAATAATTCTTGAACATTAATCTACATATCTATCACCTGAGAATCTTGTTAAGATACAGATTCTAACTTAATAGGCTAGCATAAGACATAAGATTCTACAATTCTAACTATTCTCCAGGTGATGCAGATGCCACCGGTCAGTGTATACTATGAGTACCAAATAGAGAACACACTTAGACAAACTCAGACACATTTCAAAGAGTTTAATGTAAATCACAATGAGGAATTGAATCAGGGGATGCAAATTTAAAGACGTTAAACAGTTCCAGATCTTGCATAAGTTTTTCCAGTCATAGATCAGGACTGCATTTCCTAGCCGCTCCCCAGAAGTTTCTGTGTATTCTTACTCTTCACTGTTATGCCTGAAGATAGGGTTCTTCATTTTCAAAAAACAACACAAAAATCCACATTTTTAAAGAATTATAAGCCTCTTCTTTAAAAGCAAAAGAGCTATAGTATATTAGATGGTCAATAGGGGATAGCTGTTAATTATTTAACTATAGAATGGTAACTTAAAAACTGCCATGTCTGGCAAAACCGCACAGATCACAAAATGAAGCAACATGAAGGATTAATGGTTTTTTAAAAGGAACGGGGGCCAGGCAGATGCCCTGCATATTTTGTGAGAACGACCCCTGATGCATCTGTCCTGCTTTTATTTATACATAAGCATATGATTACATCATTATTTTTGATATTTCCTTAAAACAATCAACTATTCAAATATCTTCTACAGTAAAATCATATATTTCATTATAACAATCAGCTATTAATTACTCTTTCTCATACCCAAAGGCATTTTCTTATATCCAGATGTACTGGATAATTAATTAGGTTAATATTTCTTGCAGGATTAGCAAATAATCACTAAAATGCATCATTCTGAAACATAATATGATTGTTAAGGTACATGATGCTGAAGAATGGTTTCTAAGGTATACTATTCTTAGGGCAAAACATTACTCCAGGGAAGCAGGTTAGCAAAGATTCTGCTGGGGCAATGTACTGCCCCAGGAACACACAGCTGGAGCCAAGCAAGCATTCAACCATAAGAGAGGGCTTGCCATCTCTTAACTGTAGTTAGAACATATGCCTTGCAATCATGTTCTTTTGGGTCTTTTTCTTGGTCTCCAACAAAAAACTATAAAGTGAATAGGGTCACTCCCTTGCTCTTCCTGGGTTAATTATTATAGATAAGATGGGATGTCCACTTTGTCCCATCATTTAGACTTCAGACCAAGTTTTTCAAGGACTTTCACTCTAATTTGCCGAGTTTTGACACAATACACAATGGGGTTCATCAAGGGTGGCACGAGTAAGAATGCATCAGCAATCAGAACCATAGCCAAAGGGGACTTATGCTTGGCAAAGCGATGCATAGTAGCCAAGATGATGATGGGCACATAGAAGATGAGCACAGCACAGATATGGGACACACAGGTGTTAAGAGCTTTGAGCCTCTCCCCATGTGATGCAATACCTAATACAGTCTTCAGGATGAACACATAGGAGACAGCAATGAATACACTGTCTGACATCATGCAGAGTGCAACAAATAGACCATAGTAAAAGTTGACCTTATTGTCAGAGCAGGCCAGTTTCATGACATCCTGATGGAGGCAATAGGAGTGTGATAATAGGCGCTTATTACAGTATCTAAGTCTCTTTAAAGTGAAAGGAAGGGGAAGCACTAGGAGAATACTTTTAATAGCAAATGCCAGTCCAATTTGCACAACTCTAGAACTAGTGAGGATAGAGCTATATCTCAGGGGATTGCAAATGGCTACAAAGCGATCAAAGGACATGATCAGGAGCACAGAAGACTCCATGTCTGTGAATCCATGGATGAAGAATTCTTGAGCAATGCATGCATCAGCAGAAATCCCCATGGCATTGAACAAGAAGATCCTCAGCATAGTGGGAAGGGAGGAGAAAGACAGGCCCAAGTCAGATAGGGCCAGCATGGAGAGGAAATAGTACATTGGCTCATGCAGAGAAGGTTCTGTCCTGATGACAAATAAGATGGTGCAGTTGCCCAGGATGGCCATGAGGTACATGAGGCATATAGGGATGGAGATCCAAATGTGTGCATGCTCCAGCCCTGGTATCCCAAGCAATAGGAATGTGGGAATTTCAACTTCAGAAATATTGAAAGGAAGCATCATAAATAGGTCTCTTGCTTATCTGCTCCCAGGTCTTCAGCAACATAAACAACAAACAGAAATTCTATTTTAGTTGATTTACTAAAATTTTGTATGGTCGATAGATTAAATGTATTTCCAGTGTAATGTAGCTCACCCTTAGGTGTCAAGAAATAATGTAATATAACCTGAGCTATATAAAAACATGGAGTAGATTTAAACAGGTTCTATGTTATTTATTTGAAATGTATATAATCTCCAGATCATCTTTATTCCCTGATGTATTTCTAAACAGCTAGATAGCTCAGATGCAACAAGGTGTTTTGATACCATTTTTCAAAACCACTATTTACTGAAGCTTATGCATCACATGAAATAAGTTGGAATATGTTGAGATCTGAAAGACCTCTAGTATCATGGGTACTGTCAATGCTCATGTTCTCATACGACCACAGATGCCATTGGCAGCAGGAGTTAAAGGAAGCCTAAATTTCATATTTTTGTTTGTGAGATAGGTATGTGAAGGTATAAGATTGGACTATTACAGAGGTTGACAAAATATAATCTGTGGTCAAATTCAGCCCACAGCCTGCTTTTGTACAACTCATAGGCTAATCATTGAGCTTTTTTGTTTGTTTACATATTTAATGGGTTATATTAAAAGAACAATAGTGAGAAGGAAAAATAGTAGTAATAGAAACAGTATGTAGCTTAAAAAAATACATAAAATACTTACATTCTGGTCATGTACAGAAAAATTTTGCTTACTCCTAGACTAGAAGCTCTGGTAGCATAGTGTCTAAGGCACTTGACTGCTATCCAGAAGGCTGGAGGTTCAAACCCACCAGCCACTCCTCAGAAGGAAGGTTGGGCATTCTACTTCAGCAGAGATAACACCTTGGAAACCCAAGGAGGGATCACTATGAGTCGGGTCTGACTCAGCGGCACATAACAACAACAAAACCTAGACTAGGAAATTGTACACATAAATACACGCACAGACACACATGTGCAAAATCATGGTAGTGTGTATAAATATGGATGGTATTGTAGCATGGGTCAAAAGAACTTCAATTTCAAGGTTAACATTTTATTCATATTACTAAAAAAAACTGAAGTAACAATACAAATATATAAATATTTCAGCCAGAATTGTGAAAGCACAGGTGTTTTCCAAAACTCCCTATACTTCAGTATATTCTGTTAGTTCTTGCCCCCTTTATTCTTTTAAGGGGAGTCTCTGAGCATTCCTTGCAAGAATAGAGAAGCAGAAGTTGCATCCAGATAGAAGGAATTACAGGGTGATGAGTGGAAATAGAAAGCAGTGAAAAAGATGGGAAGAAGTGACTAGCCTTTCTCTCTGCTGCCAAGGCTCAAGTTGGCTCAAGACAGGAACTGTGAAGGAATGTATGGGTCTGCCACATAGTAAAGAGAGATGATAAATGAAGAGGACGAAGATGGCTTATTTTCTGCTTACAGTACTGATTGTCCATTTTTTCTCAGCTTTTCAAATATGGTTAATGCTCCCTCAACATGTACCACATACAAAACTGCCATCTGTAGGTGCTGAAACTACCGGGTTTGCTCACAATGGTCACAGGTCTTTCCCCTTTCTTCCTGTAGTTGGATTCTTTCCCCAGTTCTTTGACGTATCTGCATTTGCCCTTGGATTGGTAACCAACTCAGGTTCTTCTCTGGTATTTGGAGTTAATGCTGCTCATATTCCTGGTACCTGCATCAACCTCAACTTTGGGTGACTCTCCATTTAATATCTGTGGACAATGCCAAATTACCCAATAAGCAAGATAAGCATGGGCTTACTTGTGCTTACTAATCTGTAATGAACAGTTACACATAGGTTTCACCACAGCAACAGTTTCACAACAGATTAGTAAATAAGCACAAGAACACCTGTTTACCATGCTTACTGCATAATCTGCCCCTGTCTGTGGACCAAATAAATCCCCCAAGAGTGTAGCTGACAGCCTGCCCTTGCCCTGGAGTGGGATCCAGAAAGAGTGGGAAAAGTGATCATGCATCTCATCCACACTGTTTAATGAATGCCATCATGAGGGGTCATTTGCAAGATTCCTTGTCTAAGGACTTTGCTGAAAAGTTTCCAATCCTAATACACACACACACACAAAAAAAAAAAAAAAAAAAAAAAAAAACCTCACTGCCTTTGAGTCAGATCCAACTCATAGTGACACCTCGTTGGCTTTCCAAGGAGGTATCACTAAGGAAGTAAATTGCCCAATCTTCCTAATACACGTAACTGAAAAATGAGTTACTATTGACACTATTTGTTACCATGTTTTAACATACAAATGGCAACTTCATGTGAGTCAGAGTAGAACTGTACTCCATAGAGTTTTCAATGATATTTTGGAAGTAGATTGCCAGTCTTTTTTTCCAGTATGCCTCTGGGTGGACTCAAACTGTTCACCTTTTGGTTAGTAAATGAAGTTTTAGCCATTGGACCACACAAGGACATGGAATCACCATGAGTTAGAATTGACTCAGAGGCAACTGCTTAGTTAGGTAGGTTATCATGCAAAAACAAAGAACTCCATTCCACATATGAGCCCTAAACTTTTTAGCCATCAACCCTTCCCCAAATGTAACTTGACCCCTAAGGTTGAGAAACTCCTGAAGCATTTTTACCTCCAGCTCTGAGAGGCATCGGGTTGATCTCTCTAAATTATGGAGTCTTGGTAGTCAGACATAAAATCATCCTAAGGAAATTCATTTCTAATCTTCAGGGCACCTACCAGCTTCTCAGCTACTTTGTCCCAAAGCAAGATGGAAAGGCACAGAATTCTAGAAGTTCTTCAGCTTCTCTGCTCCAGCACTCTGTTAGAGATCCACAGCCTTATTTATATCCCCATATCCTCCCTTATCACATGTGAATCCTCCCAAGAACTAACCTATTCCCCTGGGAACAAAGACTTCACTTGTGTCCTCAGTGTCTTTCACTAAGAGGCTTTCATAAGAAAATTCAGAAAGCAAACTGTCCCAGTGTCATAACTTCGTCTCTAGGGACCCTACTTTTGCAAAGCACATAGCTTTCAGCTCATTTGGGAGAGTTATTCTCGCACATTGACAATGACATACCATATACAACTGTGCCTCTATCGAAGTTAAGTATATACTTTAACAGACTCTATCTAAAACTATCAGAGGTCATAGACAGGCAGACCTTAAACTGAATTTTGACCACAGTTGTGTTTTGTTTGGTTATTGAAACGTCTAAGTGAATTTTTAATGTAAATGGCTTAGGTAGAAGATCATTGTTATTGTGTGTCATCAAGTAGATTCTGGCTCATGGTGATGTCATAGGATAAAGTAGAACTGCCCCAAAGTGTTTTCAAGGCTGAAATCATTCCAAGAGTCAGGTCTTTTCTACCATGGAGCAGGTGGTGGGTTCAAACCACCCACCTTACAGTTAGCAGTCAAGTGTTTAGCCAGTGTGTCACCCGGTCTCTGTAGGTGAAGAATAAGCTCTAACATTTGACATAAGATCCTCCTTTCTTTGTCTTCTTTCATCCAGTCCTTTCATATTTATTAACATCTAAAACATCTCATCTCACAGAATCTGAAAAAGGAAAGCATAAGGTCACAGCATTCCTTCACGTTTAGAAGAGAATGCCAATTTTATTTAACCTACCAGAGTGAAAATAGGAAATAAATAAAAGGTGGAATTCTGCTAGTGTGTTGTAGGTGACATCTGATGTTCAGATAAAGTGAATAGAAAATAAAGTCTAGCACAGCATATTTGATACGTGGTTCTTACATCTAGTCTCCAATTATATATAAAAACATAATTACCAAGAAAATGGAGGAGATAACTTTTGTTATCTGCACTGAAGATCTTGACAAAGAAAATGAAGAGATTAGGTCAAAGCAGGACATGCTGTGGTAGTCAGAGAGCTTCTATAGGAATATTTAAGGGAAGCTTCATCTCTTTCAGCCCTAAACCATATAGTTCTAAAATGTGGCTCAGGATTAAATTGAAAGGGTGGCAGTCTGCAAGGTGGACTGAAAGCTCAGTTTTCATAGGTTTCTCTGATAAAGGCAGAACACTGAAAAAGACTAGGAAAAAAAATGGGAAAAGAGTGGGTTCCTGACACCTGCAATGTTAATATTTGAAGGAAGAAGACAGAGAATCTTGCCAAAGGAACTGTCTTCTTATTTTGCAGAGGAGATACATTTCTCCCTGTCTACAGACCATGCAAAAACCAAACCTGGGAATTATGTCTTGCAAAATAATATTTTTCCTCAATATGATTTGCCCCCATCATTCCTCATTGCACCCAAGTCAAAAAACTGTCATGTCTTCACAAAACTTGAACAGGTAAAATGTTATTGCCACTTAAGGAGAAAATGGATTATCCACTGAAGACACTCCAGAACCTAGTGAATTGTGCCACCCAGAATCAGGTGAATAATTGTGTAAATATGTTTTGAAGGTATTAGACTCAAGACAGCAGAAGTATATGGTATTATGAACATACATTGATTCAGAAATATTTATTGATATGAGTTCACTCATCCATTATTTGGGGCTTAATATGGCAACAATACCTGAAAAGTGTGCTAATAGACTTATGGGATGGTTGTTTGAAGTTTGGACATGATGACGACTTATAGAAAATCATACTACCTGGTATAATATGGAGGAAGATATTGGATGTCAGGAAGATGGATACATTAACATAGTTTTTTGTTGTTTTTTTTTTTTTCCTTTAATATTGGACTGGAGAACTTAACACGTGACTTTTTTTCTCTAAAAAGAAATGGAGAATGATTCTGTAAGAAGGACTTTGGTGCTTTTTAATAGTTCAGTAGGTGTTACACTCTAATTTGGCAGTGAAAGATGGAACTGTGCTCCTTAATAACAATAGGATAACGGGATTCTGAGGAACTCTGGTAGCATAGTGCCTAAAGCACTTGACCGCTAACCAGAAGCCTGGCAGCTCAAACCCACCTGCCAGTCACTCCTTGGAAGGAAGGTTGGGCAA